CACACACACACACACACACACACACACACACACACTGAAATGACTTCTGGTAAAAATCTTGTTCATTAATGCTCATTGCATGTTATTGTTCCTTCTCCATTCTAAAAACTGCTGCTGAAATTAAGAACTAAGAAATTAAGAACAACCATTCAAAATCCCACCCCCCCCTCTTGCTTTGAAGTTATGGCTGCTGCAGCAACCCCACATGTGCCCTTATAACTTATTACAGAAATGTTGCTGTGCCCCTCTCTCTTCCCCCATTCCACACCATCAGACCCCCACAATGCTTGGGTCTGCTTCACACTTGCTCCTCACCCAACATACAGTTACTTTTTGAAGATCTCCAGACCTCATGTTGGGCAAAGCCACTTATCCCTGGGCTGTGTGACTGCTTCCTGGAAGTGACCACTTTTTTTCAGCACACCCGCAATTCTTTATAGAAATGGTGTCTGCTTTTGGAACTTTCTGCTGTAATCAGCTGGCAGTTAGGAGATTGCAAGCTTCTCCCGTATCTTGCTTGTAGAGATGGTAGCTAATAGAATAATATTCTATGCAAACTTCAGAAACTGTAATTTGTTAATTTAACTCTGTCTTCTGAAGCATACCAGAGACATTCAGGTCAGCATTTGTTTGGACAATCACAGGGATTTCTAAAGAATGGCAGTTTGATAAAACAATCATATTGTATATGGGTGGATTTAGTTCATACATGTTTGTTCTTGTTTGACATGGAATGTTTAGGAGAGCAGGAAGAGAAATTAGCCTTTTTTTACCTTATCAATTGTCTCCTGCTTCTTACAATTGTTTGCTCTCCTTTTGAACTGGGACTGGGCAATGAGAAAATTGAAGTTTTCCAAAGTGTTGGGCAATGTAATATTTTCACATTCTTCTTCCCGGCCTCCGGGGTTGGGCGGCCTATAAATTTAATAAATAGTAATAGTAATTTCAGATGCAGTCCAAACAATGTCTAAATAAAAAGTTGACTGTAATTTAATGTATATCTCAGTCTGTTTTTGAATCTTACTAATTTCTTCTGGGCTGATGGGCTTTATAGAATGCCCATTGCCTGTTGAGAAAATCTTAGAAATATTAATATACGCGGTTCTGTGCCTGGCTTTAATATAATGTACTCTATGTTCGTTATATTCAGACTTTACAAAGAGAGATTAAGCCAAGTGGATGCAAAGCTACAGGAAGTCATTGCGGGAAAGGCACCAGAGTACTTGGAACCACTGGCAGCTCTGCAAGAAAACATGCAAATCCGAACAAAAGTGGCGGGTGAGTCCATAAAGTAGATGTTGTTAGATATACTATATCACTGCATGGCAATGGTTGAAGTAAAATGCTAATAAAAGTTTCAAGGCTTCTGAAGCCTTCGAAGTGAAAACAATTGGAGTTGGATTTTTTGTTACTGTATATTTTTTATATACTGTATACTCATATTTTAATAGCAGTAACGTGCAAGATCATCCATGACAGCATAACATAAATCCCAAATAAATGCATGTGTATAATCTTTCACCAAAAGCAATCATAGCTGTGTTGCTCCTTAGGTGAAGAAGCTTGAAAATGCAGAGCTGGGTGATATATTTATTAAAATCAACCAAAATGATGTATTTTATAATGATGTATTAAAATCAACCAAAGTGGTGTATTTTATGCATGTATGTATTTAGTGTATGGCATATCATGAACTAGCAATTCTCTGTAATGGCCTCATAAGCCTGGAACATTTCTCCAGAAATTAGACTGGCCCCCTCTTTGACACTCTTTCATAAGGCCCTGAAGACATGGTTTTGCCAGTGGGCCTGGGGAACCCAGAGTGGAGCCCATTAAATGGTTGGTTTGAGTGTGTGTTATTGCTGAGGAGGGGTGGGATTATTATTTTATTTTTCCTACATTGTGTTTTTATTATCTGTAAGCTGTCTAGAGTTGCTATAAGTGACTGGCGGCTATGTAATCTAGATAAATAAATAAATATATATATTAACATTTCAAGTGGTGTACAAATTTCTCAGACCTCTTCCTCAAAAAATATGTTTCAGAAAGCAGGGGACGAGAAAGAAGCTAACCAGTATTTTTAAAATACTAGTCAGATATTTAAGATATGAGAACTTGTTAATGCAAATTAGTCTCAAAATGGCAGCTATGTCTCAGTCGGAATTGGGTGTTGATTACAGGTTAAACTGTTTTTTTAGGAAAAAAAGAAAATGATTATTTCCCTAGTTGTGAAAATACAAAACAATTAATCTCTAATCTATATTTGCCCTCCATTTCCGTTGCTTCCATAGCTGCTATTATTTTCAGAGGACTGGTTTAGATGTAATATATCTGATGCTCTAAGACTGTGCTGTTAAACACTACTTTATAAATCATCTTTAGTGTTTTTTATCTAAAAACTGGTTTAAAAAATACTAGTTTCTTGCTCTGTCCAAAACAATGAAATTTGGTTTATTATCTTGGATCATCAAAGAATAATTAAAACTGGATGGTAAACAGAGTTCTTTAGGGTAGATTGTGGTTTAGGATACTTGGAATCAATGTATCAAAGGAAGAAACATACAATGTCCATGATGACAAACCTATGGCATGCATGCCACAGGTGACACACGGAGCCATATTTGCTGGCACACAAGCCGCCAGCTATGGCGTGCATGCACATACCGGCCACCTGATTTTTGGCCTCCCGAAAAGCTGGGAGAAGCAGTTTTCCCCCTCCCCAGGCTTTAGGAAAGCCTCCGATGGCTGGGGAGGTGAAAAACAGGCCCAACGGGCCAACTGGAAGTTCGGAAACAATCTGTTTCCGGCTTCCGGAGGGCCTTCAGGGGTGCTGGGGGAGGCCGTTTTTGCCTTCCCCAGGCTTCAGGAAAACCTCCGGAGCCTGGGATGTGGTTGTGCATGTATGCACAGGGGGTCATGCGCAGGTGGGCGGGGAAGATTGAATTGGTGTGGGCATGTGTGAGCGTGCACACATACAATTTTGGCACGCCTTAGAAAAAGGTTTGCCATCACTGTACTATGTGTTTTATTTCTATTTTAGAAAACTGATTCATTAACACACGAAGCATGTACAATATATATAATATTAAGACAAGTCTATACAATATATTTGCATGTAAGAAATATACGGGGGTACTATACAAAAAAGGCTGGATCAAGTAGATTAATAAATATAATGTTATAATATTTTTGGCATAATTTTAATTCAATTTGGATTGAATATATTTTCTTTCCTTCCCAGTATTTTGGATGTTTTCAATTAAGTTTTCCTGTATACATCTTGAGCAAAGAGGCATACATTTTTATCTGTAAGCCGCCCTGAGTCTCCCGAGAGTGGGCAGCATACAAACCCTATAAAATAAATAAATAAATAAATAAATAAATCCTCTTTCTTGCACAATGAATTATTTGCAAACCAGAATGGAAAACAAGAATTTGGAAACTTAGTAACTGAGATGCTGTTGAAAGGCGAGATGGAACCCACCTTAATGATCATACATTTGCAAAAAACCTTTTGCAATCTACTACAGATAATCCTTGACTTATGATCACAATTGAGCCCAAAATTTCTGTTGCTAAGCAAGACAATTGTTAAGTGAGTTTCGGCCCATTTTATAATCTTTCTTGCCACAGTTGTTAAGTGAATCACTGTTAAGTTAATTAATTATTAGCAGTTGTTAAGTGAATCTGGCTTCCCCATTGTCTTTGCTTGTCAGAAGATCTCAAAGAGTGTTCGGATGACCCTATGGCACTGTAACCATCACAAATACATTCCAGTTGCCAAACGCCCAAATTTTGATCATGTGACCACGGGAATGCTGGAACAGTCATAATTAATAATTAATTAAATGTTATGTCACTTTTTTCAGCGCTGTTTTAACTTCAAACGATCACTAAATGGATGGTTGTAAGTCGAGGACTACCTGTAAATTGAGCAGGAAATTTTTATATCTTGCTGGTTGCCACATATCTGCTTACACATTGTTGCTAAATTGAAATAAGTTTTTTATACTTTATACAAAGTATTACTTTTGCATACTTTTTTGTTACAGTTGATGCAAGAAGAAAATATATTCTTGAATCACAGTTTAGAGGCTAGGCAGGGTTTTGTGTTGGCTCTAGAAACTTCCAAGGTTTTTCTCATCATACTGTACCCCCACCCCCTAAGAATGTTTCTTGTTGTCCATTTTGTTTTTCTGCAAACAGGAAATGCCATTTCTCCCTTCTATCCAGTCTGTTTCTTCACTCAGACAAGAAAAAAAAACCCCAAGTGGATTGGTTTTGTTTTGCTTTACTGCCTATCAGGTGTACAGCAGGCAAGGATCAAGGGCTGATTTCTTATTTGCTTTCTGCAAGGAAGTGGTTCCTTCATTCAATAGCATAGCAGGAGCACTTAGACTTATATACCACTTCCTAGTGCTTTCCAGCCCTTCTAAGTGCTTTACAGAGTCAGCATATTGCCCCCAACAACAATCTGGGTCCTCATTTTTCTTATTTTGGAAGGATGGAAGGCTAAATCAACCTTGAGACCATCAGGATCAAATCCTTGGCAATAGGCAGAACTAGCCTGCAATACTGCATTCTAAACCGGGACGTAGTGGCTCAGTGGCTAAGACGCTGAACTTGTTGATCAGAAAGGTTGGCAGTTCGGCGCTTCTAATCCCTAGCACTGCGTAATAGAGTGAGCTCCCGTTACTTGTCCCAGCTTCTGCCAACCTAGCAGTTTGAAAGCATGTAAAAATGCAAGTAGAAAAATAGGGACCACCTTTGGTGGGAAGGTAACAGCGTTCCATGCGCCTTCAGTGTTTAGTCATGCCGGC